ATGATGCTGCTTGGCCTGCTGTGTTCATCCAGCCCTGCACCTTGTTGTCTCGGATTCTCCAGCATCTGCAGTTCCTACTATCTCTGCTGAAAACCCTATTGTTTGTAATATATATAAATGATTTGAAGGAGAATGTAGGTGGTCTGATTAGTAAGTTTGCAGATGATATGAAAATTTATGCAATTGTGGATAGGGAGGAAGGTTGCCAAAGGATACAGCAGGATATAGACCATTTGGAAAGTTGGGCAGAGAAATAGCAAATGGAGTTTAGTCTGGATAAGTGTGAAGTAATGTATTTTTGGAGGTTAATTGTAAGAGGAAAGTATGCAGTAAATGGCAGGGGAGTTAGGTGCATTGATATACAGAAGGATCTTGTGGTGGAAGTCCATTCCTCTCTGAAGGTGGCAACACAAATGGATAAGGTGGTAAAGAAAGTGAACTGCATGCTTGTCTTCATTGGTCAGGGCAATGAGTATAAAAGATGGTAAGCCATGTTGCTGCTATATAAACTTTAGTTAGGTCACATTTGGAGTATTGTGTGCAGTTCTATTCACGATAGTTAGGATGTGGAGGCTTTGGAGAGGGTTCAAGGGAGGCTTACCAGGATGTTGCCTAGATTGGAATGTATTAGCTACAAGGAGAGGTTGGTCAAACGTGTTTTTGCTAGAGCATTGGAAGCGGAGGGGGCAACATGATAGAAATGTATAAAATTATGACAGGCATGGAAAGGGTGGATAGTCAGAATCTTTTTCCCAAGGAAATTGTCAAATACAAGGGGGCACTCTTTTAAGGTTACAGGGGCAAAGTTTAAAGATGTTGGTGGTAAGTTTTGTCTAGTGTGTGGTGTATGACTGATTGCATTACCAGGGAGGCCATAGAAGCAGATACAATATAGCAATGTTTAAAAGAGCATTTAGACAGACATGAACACGCAGGGAATACAGGGATATGGACCATGTGCAAGCAGATAGGATTAGTTTAGAATGGCATCATGGTAGACTGAAGAGCATCTTCCTGTGCTGTTCTATGTTTTAAGTATGTTGTGAAGATGACTTAAGAGGTTGTGGACGGATACAGATAGGTTGAGTGGGTGGTCAAAAATCTTGCAGATGAGTACAATGTGGGATAAGGTGAAGTCAGTCACTTTCACAGAAAGAATGAAAAATTTCACTACTTAAACAGAGAACAACTGCAGAGTTCTGAGGTACGGAAGTGTTTAGGTATTCCAGCGCATTAGTCACTAAACGTTAACGCGCAGGTATAACATCTAACCAAGGATGCTAATTGGATGGCAGCATTTATCACAAGTGGAATCTAACAAAAGTAAAGATATTACGCTTCAAATACACAGGGCATTGGTAAGACCACATCACAAATATGGTGTGCAGTTTTGGATTATTTATATAAGGAAGGATGCAATGCACTGGAGGCTGTTGGGAAGAGGTTTAATACCTGGAATGCGTGGGTTATCTTGAAAAAAGGTTGGACAGGCCGGGAGAAATGAAAGTTGGCTTGATTGAAATAGAAAAGAGCCAAAGATCAGTTTTTGCAAGGTGGACTTGGAAAGGATGTTTCCTCTTCTGGGCTAGTCTAAAACTAGGAAACAGATTCTTGTTAGAATCGAAGACTATTGGGTGTAGATGGGAATGTGGATTTCAAAAAACAGATAAACCATATTCTTACTGAATGGCAGACCAGGCTTCAGGGGCCAAATTATCTACTTCTGCTCTTTTTTTGTATGTTCCTATGCTCTCTGGCATTCAAGGGTGTCTTGATTTAGTACCATCCTTTTTCCTTGTAACGATAGATTTGTTCTGAACCCATTATTATCATCTCATCCACAATGCCCTCATTTACTTTAAACCAATTTACCTTTATGTACCTATTTCCAGTCCATTTCTGCCAAGACACATTTCACTGGTTGACCTTTCACTAATTTATGTGGATATATCTACTACCTGCCAATAGGCTATGGTAGTTCAAGGCTGCTAAGCACCACATTAAGGGCAAAAAGGGATAAGCATAAATGATGGCCAGCAATGCCCACATCCCATAAATGAATTAAAAAAAATGTTCACCAAACAGTTCCTCTTCCCTCTGCCTAGATTCACTCTATAAAATCAGGTCCAAAATTGCCCTTTTCCTTACTGGGCTCGTTATATTCAGTTGAAAAAGGATCTTATGTTTCATTTTTTATTTTTTCATTCCTGACTATATAAAGGGTTGTCTCTTAAAAGTAAAGCAATATTAACTTACCACTTGATGCCCTTTTATCTACAATCATATAGCTAGCAGCACAGAAATATTGAAGAAAAACAGACAGTATATTAAGTTCCTGGCTCCTGATTCCATATACCATTAATTTAAAATGTATGTATCTTTAATGTCAAACACAGTGGCAAAAGGTCCAATGAATCAGGAATAAACAGATATAGGCTGAGGTAGAAACCTAAGCTTTAAAAGTCCAAGCTGGCTGAAGCAATTTGTGTACTGGGGCTGCTTTGCTTACACATTTATATATTCTGGGTGTTATGGTCTAGGTGCAGTGGATGAATTGTATCAAATGTTGAGAACACGCCAGAAGCAAACATACATGGGTACAAGATTTATATCTTTAAACCAGGAATCTGCAAACTACATTGGGGAAACAAACTGTAGACTGGGTGACCGCTTCAGAGAACAGCTGCCTGCCATTTTTAACATACCACCCTGTTCTCTGGGCCAACATCAGTCTTGGGCTTGCTGCAGTGTTCCAGCAAAGCTCAGTGCATGTTGGAAGAACACCACCTAATTTTCCACTTGGGGAGCATGCAGCCCTCTGGACTCAATATTGAGTTCAATAATTTTATGGCCTGGACTTTCTCATGCCCTAGACCCCACCCCACACCCCAGGCCTTGTTATCACAATCTGCCATTCCACACTACCTATCGTTAGCCATAAAAAGTCTCCTTTAACAGCTATTCACTCTCCCAGCCCGATCATTATTCACTCCTTTGTATGTCCAACTATCTTCTCTCTTTGGGCTCTAACCCCATCAATCATTTACTCCTTAACCCCACCCTACCTTTTGCAACATTTTCCTAGCTACCATCAGTTCTGATGAGGGGTCACTAGACCTGAAACATTAACTCTAATTTCTCTTCACAGATGCTGCCAGACCTGCTGAGCTTTTCCAGCCTTCTGTTCTTGTTTCTCATTTACCGCATCTGCAATTCTTTCAGTTTTTACAAATTGTAAACTATACATGTGAGACCGATGATTAAGAGAGATCCTTATCGGAGTTCCTAAACAACCATGTGTGCATTGGATTGCCATAGCCTGGTAGGCACTATGCAGGCCTTGATTCACTTAGATACTACATGTGTGTGGCTGCACAAGAAAATAACCAGTGTGTAGGCCCAGTGATTTATGTCGATTAGGAGCACAGCAGCAGGAGTAAACCATTCAACTCTGACGTTCTAGATTATGACCAATCATCTACCTCAACACCATTTTTCTGAGCTATCTCCATATCCCTTGACATGATCAGTTTCCAGAAATCTACAACTTTCTGTCTTGAACAATGATTGATTTTCCACAGCCCTCTGGAATAAAAAATTCTAATGTTTCACTGGTCTCTGAAGAAATTCCCCCTCTGTTCAGTCCTAAATGGTTTGCCTCTTATTCCGAGGTGTGTCCCCTGTCCCCAGTCCCCAGATTCTCCCCAAACTCCGAACCAGGAGAAACATTCTTTTTGTATCTACATTGTTCAGCTCATAAATTCTTAAAATTACTTGATATGATTCATGAGGCTGATCATTCCATGAAATTCACATTCTGTTGCACCTAATTTTTCTTGTATCTAATATTGAAGCTACCAAATTGCAGAATCATGCTTTTCAGAGTTTAAACCCTTCATTAGTTACATGGAACAAATTAGGTATTTTTGTTGGGGTAAATTAAGATGTTAAAGTGTATTTGATCGTAGATTTTATTTTCAATAGCAAAGATGAGAGAGAGGAAAAAAATATAATGGTCAGATGATTGTTAAAGGCAAACAGGCAGCAGAGTTAGGTTTCTTCCCTCTCCCAACTGTTATAAATTTAATAATTGTCAGCAATTTAAAGAAGACAGCATGCAAACATTAACGCAAGATGCTACATGACAGCATTTTAATTCAAACATTACAGATCAAAACTCAATTTTAAACACCCTAATCAAGTACTGTCTACACAATCACTACACATCCTATTCTCAATTTTATTTATACATTAAATACAACTATGTATCAAGAGACATGATTCTCATTTTATTAATGGGCAAGGATCAAAAAGTTCAAATAATTTATTTTAAGTCACATACAACACACCATAGTATTCACTATGAAACAAGATTAGTTACATACAGTACAGGCCTCCTAAATTAAAGTGGCTTAATATTTGTGAGAATGCATATCCCCTTTGGGAAAAATCAAGCATAAAAATATACAAGATAGTGACAACCATCCCTCGATATATCAAAGAAAAATAGATAGGAAAAACCTTGAGCTTCAGGAAGACTGGCAGTGGTTTGGTTTTAAAAACACACTTTCATTAATGACTTCATTATTCTTCATTAAACTGGAAAAAACATTACGCCAATATTTTCACCCACATGAAATGCTAAACAGCCTTACCTCATCATATCCTTCTTTTGAGGGTTAGGATAAAAATGAAGGTGCCAGAAGGATGATAAAAAGATTTTACAACATTCCCTCTTTTTATAAACTGCAGTGACAACTGCTCCAGCTGGCATTACCAGCATTCACAGCTGCCAGTCACTGATCGACTGACAGCGCAATAAGGTGGGAAGTTCTGCTGATGACAGGTAGAAGTCCTGTCCCATACTAATGAAAGGGCCATTACCTGTAGCATTAAATTGGGTGAGATGCTCAGGGGAGATGGGCTCTCCCCTGTCATTTTTGTTGATGTGCAGGGAGCCAGTTTATAACGTTTAATATTATAATGTGACTTCTTTATGAACACATAACTGGCTAGTCTATATCTTAGTAGGGGATTTTGCATCTTCCTTTGAATTAGGCTTATGAGGTTGCTTGCATTGCCACAAGTTAATTACAGCATACCAAAGCCCTTTGAGTATGTGATTGCTTTAAGGAGCCTTTCCTTGAGCTTGTCTTTGCTCGAGTAGTCTGGCAGCAGGAGTACATTGAAGCACGTGTGCGTTGTTGGTAGCCTGTTGGTAGGAGAATGAAAAGTCACCGTAAACATTAAGAATTAATAATTCCAAATTCTCATCTAAGAATAATTTCAGTATTCTGCAATGTGTTTGTTTCAAATAAATCTCAAATACGTTGACGGAAATATAAACCGATGTGAATCATCAGTGCCTTACTCACTGTTCTACTTACAGCCGATTCAATTGTTCACTAAAAAGGACGTGTCTACAAACACTTTACAAAAATAAAGATCTCAGTTCTTTAAAGCCAATGAGTTACTTTTGAGGTGTTACTGATGTTATACAGAGTGTGAAAAGGGGTAGGAGGAGGCAAATGCAGTCATAACATCAGAATTGATCAAATGGGTCAAATTACCTGTTTCAATATTGTAGTAACACTGCAAATATCCTAATTTGAAATTATATTTGTGCCCCTCCAAAGTTATTTACATAGATTATTGACAATTGTAGCTTCTTATTGAACTCTATATAGAAACAAACCGTGCACAGGAAAGGTATTACCCTCAAACATACCTGTCTGAATCTGGTCCATTCTTGGTTATGATCAATTTAATTTTGCCAAGACCACCAACAGGAGCCCGGTCAGAACCTGTAGTGAACTGCAGAAACTGACGCTTCTGTTCTTCTGGGAGACTGTGAGTTATCCCCCAGAAATCTCTATAAAGTGTTTAGAAGAGGAAGAGAAGATTAGTTGAAAAAATTATATATTAAAAATTATAAGCAGTTGTTAGGTACTTCTAATCAAATTTCTGTGCTGTTCATACATTTTTATATGTTGTGTGCTAATTACCAGGATTGAGATTGCTCATGCTACACTTACTATATTACGTTTGAGCTCAGTGAATTGGATAAATTTGGGGTAAAATTAAATAAATATATAATCAATATTCTATTGAAGTCCATGCTTTGACCTATTAAAGAGCTAATTCTATTATACACAATAATATTAAAAATATCAAAAAAAAGTAAAAAGATGCTGGTTCACTGATCCAAAATAAAAGTCTATTTCAAAAACAGACTAATTTTCTCGGGAATACATTATAAGCTCCCTCTCCTGTTCTGCAAGTGCAAGGCTAAATAGACTGTTTTGATGTCATCACAGCAACAGATTATTTCCAATCTGATAAAGCATTACTATCATGTTATGACAGGTATGTGAAAAAAAATTGAGACTTGTTAGGCAAAGAACATTGTATATTTTATATATAAACATTTATTAGCCTGTTGCATGCCTCTAAAGATGGAGTTAAAACCTAATATAGAAGACGGCTTAGATGACAGATATGGGAAGTACAGAAAACAACATGCCAGTGTGAGAGAAGACAAAATAATTACCTTACTATCCTAGATTCTTTTGTGAATCCTCCATCATACTCTGTTGCCTCTTCAAGTGCGTGAAAATCCAGATTCTGAAACGTAACGGAACTGTAGATTATAAGCATCAACTCAACTGCCATATAAACGTGCTACAGAATACAGACACAAATAGTTCTTTACAAGGGAACAAGAAAGGACATTGACTAGAAGATAGGAACTGTTAAGAAAAAGGAAGAAAACAAACACACAGATAGAATTCTGAAAAGGTTTTGAAAGTATTGAGATGGGTAGCAAGGGAACGTGCTAGACATCTGATCATCTGACTTAATGACAAATGTGCCAAGGGAGTGCTGAGGTGTTTCTGAAGTTAAAAGGAAAATCAATGGTAATCTAGCCAGCAAAAGGTGAAGTAGGGCATACAACTGGAGTAGTTTGCCAAATAAACAGAAAGAGCAGGAGAATTTGAAAATGACCGAGTACTTTCTAAAATGTTAATGCACAGAGCACTTGTGAAGTTTGGAGGTAAAGCGTGCTCAGACATTTTGAGAAAGGGGTTGTAGAGCTCTAGATTAACTTAACACAAAGGATGTGTATCAATTACTAATTAAGAATTTTTAATGCATACGGCAATAAAATCTCTATTATATGCTTATTAATCTGTTTTTACAGAGTTGAAAATGATAGGGATTGGCAAAATTTTATTTTAAAAAATGAATGATTCTGGCTACAGTCCTCACTAAATCAAATGATGTACGTTTTATACAAGGGACAGGAATATTATACTGCAAAAATAAAATAAAATAAAGGTCCCTATTCCTTTAAGGTTAATTGCAATTGCTTGACATTCTTTAAATTAATATGGGTTAACTAATATCTGGTTAACTCTGGAAGGGGCAAAACGCAACCTACTCTTGGGAAATAGGGCAGGACAGGTGACTGAGGTGACATTGGGGAAGCACATTGGATCCAGTGATCATAGCCCTATTAATTTTAAAATAGTAACGGACAAAACTGGTCTACAGGCTCAAGTTCTAAATTGGGGCAATGGGAATTTTGATGGAATTAGACAGGAGCTTGTAGGGGTTGGTTGGAGTAGTTTGTTTGCAGGCAAAGGAAACTCTGACAAGTGCGAGGCCTTTAAAAGTGTGATAGCTAGAGTTCAAGATCTATATGTTCCTGTGAGGGTGAAGGGCAAGGTTGGCAGGAGTAGGGATCCCTGGATGACAAGAGGTATTGAGGCTTTAACCAGAAGAAAGGAGGAGGCATACTCAGGAACAGGTAGCTGGGATCAAGGGAATCCTTGGAGGTATATAGGAGATACAGGAATTTACTGAAGGAGGAAATCAGGAGAGTGAAAAGGGGACACAAGATAGCTTTGGCTGAGAAGATTAGAGTGAATCCAAAGAGATTCTTTAAGTATCTTAAAGGAAAAAGAATAACTAGAGAGAGAATAGGACCCCTCAAGGACCAAAGTGGACATGTATGTGTGGAACCGCAGGAGATGGATGAGATCTTCAATGAATATTTCTCCTCTTTGTTTACAGTGGAGAAAGATATGAAGACTTGGGGAAGTTAGTGGCAATATCTTGGGGACCTCACATGAGAGGTGATGTTGGAAGCATTAGAATGTATAAGGTCGATAAATCTCCTGGTCCTGATTAGATATATCCAAGGGGCTAGAGAAGAAATTGCAGGGGCCTTGGCTGATAATATTTGCATCATCATTAGCCACAAGTGAGGTCCTGGAGACTGGAGGGTTGTGAATGTTGTGCCTTTATTCAAGAAGGGCTACAAAGAAAAATCTGGGAATTATAGACCAGTACATTTATCATGTGTGGTAGGTACGTTACTGGAGAAGATTCTGAGGGATAAGATATACATGCATTTAGAAACACAGGGTTTGATTAGGAGTAGTCAGCGTGGCTTGGTGTATGGGAGATCATGTCTCTCAAATTTGTTACAGTTCTTTGATGAAGTGACCAGGAAGGTTGACGAGGGCAGGGCAGTAGCCTATATGGATTTCTGTAAGGCTTTTGATAAGTTTTCACATGGTAGGCTGCTCTGGAAGGTTAGATTGCATGGAATCCAGGGAGACTTGGAAAGTTGGATACACAATTGGCTTGATGGTAAGAAGCAGAGGGTAATCCTGTTAGGATGCTTGTCGGACTGGCGGTGTGCCTTAGGGGTTGGTGCTGGCCCCATTATTGTTTGTTACCAATATCAACGATTGGGTTGAGAATGTACAAGGCATGATTAATAAGTTTGCAGATGACAATAAAATAGGCAGCATCGTGGACAGTGGAAAGGTTATCAGAAACTGCAGCAGGATCTTGATCAGCTGGGGAGTGGGCCAAGAAATGGCAAATGGAGTTTAATATAGATAAGTGAGGTGTTGCATTTTGGAAAGTCAAATCAAGGTAGGAGTTTCATGGTGAATGTTAGGGCCTTAAGGAGTGTAGTGGAACAGAGTGACCTTAGAATGCAGGTGCACAGTTCTCTGAAAGTGGAGTCACAGGTAGACAGGGCAGTGAAGGCGGCTTTTGGCACACTGGCTTTCATCAGTCAGGGCACTGAATACAGTAGTTGGGAAGTTATGTTGCAGTTGTACGTGATGTTGGTGAGGCCGCACTTGGGAGTATTGTGTTCAGGTTTGGTCACCTTGCTATAGGAAGGATGTTATTAAACTGGAAAGAGTGCAGAAGAAATTTACAAGGACGCTGCCAGGACTCAAGTTACAGAGAGAGGTTGGACAAGCTAGGACTCTTTCTTTAGAGCATAGGAGACCGAGGAGGAATCTTACAAAAGTATTAAGATCACGAGAGGCATGGAGAGGGTGAATGCGCTCAGTCTTTTTCCCAGGATTCGGAAATCGAGGATTAGAGGGCATCAGTTTAATTTAAGTTCAACATGGCGGCAGGATAAGACGCTCCAGTCGGAGCTCCTCTGCTCGCTAGTTCGCTTTCCTTCTCCTTTCTTTTTTCTCTCCCCTCTCTGCAGTATTTTTTCCCCCACCTCTTGCCCCCCACCGCACCCAACTTTTAACTTTACCCCTAAGTGAGGAAAGGAGTTGGGTTGTGACCGGGGACCAGCTGGGAGCTGAACACACGGGCTGTGTGCTGCAGGAGCAGCGGACGGCAGGCCACAGGATCAATCGCGGGCCGGAGGATCAAGCGCGGGCCAGAGTTGGCGGCGGAACGGCCTGTTCAGCAGTGAGAGCAAACCAGTGAGGTGGCGGCAGTTTTGGTTCCTCCTAGGCCCCCAATTCCGGCGATCAAAGATCGATTTGGCAGCGAGAGTGGGCCTTTCTCCAATCCTGGGTGCCCTGGTAGTGGGAGTGGCAGTGCGGCGATGGTGTAGCTTATTCCACCGTTCTGGGTGGCAGCAGTGAAAGCACGGCTCTTCCGGGCAGGACTCATGGGCTGGCCCAGACTCCAGGCTGTCGCTGGGCCCAGGTGCCTGCACCGTGACTGAGCATTCCAGGCACATTTCTAGATTGGGACTTTGGCTTTTGAGATCCGGACCTTTTTCTCCCCATTTATCTTTTGACTCTGTTAAATAGTTAATTCTGGTTTTGTAACCAAGATCGTGCTAGGAAATGGCAATTAGGTGCACTTTTCACTGTAATCATGTATTCTTACACATAGTACATGCAACGGTAAAATCTAAATGTAATGAGGGGAAAGAATACATGGGAACCAGAGGGGCAACTTTGTTGTTTTTTTAAACATAGAGGTTGGTACACATATGGAATAAGCTACCAGCTGAAATGGTTGAGGTGGCTACATTAACAACATTTAAAAGGCATATGGATAAATACATGGATAGGAAAAGCTTAGAAGGATATGGGCCAAGCGCAGGGAAATGGGGTTAGCGTGGATGGACATTTTGGTCAGCATGGACCAAATGGCCTGTCTCCATGCTGTAGGACCCTGACTCTAAAAGCCAGTGAGCCTGTTGGCTTTGTTTGATTACCTAGCCAATTAAGAATTTTAGACATTGTGAAACTGACATGTCTTGGGAATGTGCTAAAAAAACTATTTTAAAGATGTTTGGTAAATGTGAGATTGTAGGCTGCTTGCAGGTGATAGAACATGCAAGGTATTTCAATTCTAGGTAGTAAATCAGGTTTAGTAGGAAATTGTTATTGGGAAAATTGATGGCATTAAAGGCTGACAAATCCCCAAGGCGCAATAATCTACATCCAGGAGGACTTAAGAAAATGACCCTCGCAATAGTGGATGCACTGGTGGTCATCTCAAGATTCTATTGACACTGGAACAGTTCCAATGGATTGGAGGGTAGCTAATGTAACCCCATTATTTAAAACAAGAGGGAGACAGAAAACAGGAAGTTAAGGCCTGTTAACCTAACATCGGTGATACGGAAAATGTTAGAGTTCACTATGAACCATTTAATAACAGAGCATTTGGAAAACAGCAAAAAGAATTGGACACAGAGTCAGCTTAGATTTACAAAACGGAAGTAAGTATCATGCTTGACAAATCTACTGGAGTTTGAAGATCTCACTAGTGGAGTTGATAAGGAGGAGCCAGCGGATGTGGTTTACTTGGACTTTCAGAAGGCGTTCAACCAGGTCCCACATAAGAGATTAGCATGTAAAATCAAAGCACATGGACATGGAATAGCATACTGGCATGGATAGAGAACTGGGTGGCAGACAGGAAGCAAAGTAGAAATAGCCAGATCTTTTTCTGAGAGGCGGGCAGTGACTTATGGAATACTGCAGGGATCAGTGTTTCGACCCCAGCTATTCACAAATCTCCAGAGTTGCAGGCAACACAAAAGTGGGTGAGGGAGTGAACTATAAGGAGGATGGGGACATGTTTCAGTTTGATTTGGACAAGTTGAGTGAGTGGGCAAATGCAAGGCAGATAATGTGGATAAATGTGAGGCTATCCACTTTGGTAGCAAAAACGGGAAGGCAGAGTACTATCAGAACGTCAACATCTGGTAAAAGGGAGATGCAGAGAGACTTGGGTGTCCTTAAAAAATCATGATGGGCATAGATAAGGTGAATAACCAAGGTCTTTTCCCCAGGGTAAGGGGAGTCCAAAAGTAGAAGGCATAGGTTTAGGGAGAGAGGGAAGATTTAGAAAGGACCTGATGAACAAACTTTTCACACAGCGGGTGGTGCATATATGGAACAAGCTGCCGGAGAAAGTGGTAGAGGTGGATACAATTGCAATATTTAAAAAACATTTGGACAGGCACATGGATAGGAAAGGTTTAGAAGGATATGGGACAAATGTAGGCAAGTGGGATTAGTTCAGTTTAAGCAACCTGGTTGACATGGATGAGTTGGGCCAAAGAGTCATATAGCATGGAAACAGGACTTTATGACTCTAAGTCACTGAAAGTAAGCATGCAATTGCAGCAGGTGGTGAGGAAGACCTCCATAGCGAGAGGATGTGAGTACAGGAGCAGGGATGTCTTGCTGCAATTCTACAGAACCTTGGTGAGACCACATCTTGAGTATTGTGGGGTTTTGGTCTCCTTGTCTGAGGAAGTACAACCAAGATTTATCAGACTGATTCCTGCGAAGACAGGACCGATATATGAAGACTTGATTGCTTAAGACTGTATTCACTGGACTTTAGACAAATGAGTGGGAATCTCAAAGAAACCTATAAAATTCTAACAGAATTACACTGTGTAAACACAGGAAAGATGTTCCCGATGACCAGACAGCCAGAACCAGGAGTTATAGTCTAAGCGTATGGGATAGGTCATTTAGGCTGACTTAAGGAGAATGTTCTTCATCCAGACAGTGTTGAACCTGTGGAATTCTCTGCAATGGAAAATGGTCAAGGCCAGAACACAATGTTTTCAAGGAGGAGTGAGATCTTCAGGTTAAAGGGATCAAAGGGTATGGAGAGAAAGCAAGAACAGGGTACTGAAGTAGATGATCAGGCACAGTCATATGGAATGGCTGAGCAGGCTCTAAGAGCCAATTGACCTATTTTTGCTCCTATTTTCTATGTTCTTATGTTTCTTTGAGACACTAATACAAATAGTAAATAACTGAGGCTACAGTATTGATTCTTGAAATACTGCACTAGTTACTAGATGGTATGCTTGTCTTGGAGCTGTGAAGCCAAGATTCACTAGATTGGTTTCTGGGATCAGAGGCTGTCCTATGATGAAAGTTTGAATAATCTGGGCCTTTATTCTGTGAAGTTAAGAATGAGAGGTAATCTTATTGAAACGTACAAGATTCAGAAGGGACTTGGTAAATACTGAGGACTGGCTTTCCCTGACTGGGAACCTAGAACAAAGGCAAAATCTCAGAATAAAGTATAAATCACCTACAATTTAGATGAGGAAAAATTTCTTCAAAGGGTGTGAATCTTTGGCATTTTCTACCCAAAAGATTTATAAATGCTCTGTCATTAAGTATACTCATGCTTAAGATAGATTTTGTCAATCTTGGGAAAATAAGGAGTTGGCAGGGAATTAGAGTGGAAGCAAATCAGCTATTATCAGATCAAATGGCAGAGTAGGGCCAAGAGGCTGAGAACTATTCCTGCTCTTAATTCATACATTTTTCTTCTATTCAAATGTTTTCATCACAACTTAGATAACTGCACCACTCCACACCCCAACAACTAATCAGGTGTCAAAAATATAATGCTACAAGATATAATCAGCAAAGATGAGAGCTTTACATCTGACCCAAGAACTAAAACCGAAATGGGACAGGCTTATTTCATTAAGCTTCCTAGAGTGGAATAAGTTTGATTTTTAGAATGTCATTGGCATTTTGAATCAATCACCTGCAAGACTTACTAATAGCACAGTTGCACAACAGCAGTGTCAATAGACAGCAAATTGCAAAATGAAATATTCTCCCATTGGAGTCTCATACATTTGGTGAATTTGGGCTCAGAACTAGTCAAACAATACTCACTCTGCTGCCACAGATCAGCTGTTCAATTTCTTCTGGCCTGAAAAGGTATCTTAAGGGAGATTCATTTATGACCATTTGGAAACCTCGACTGAATGCTTGGAATTGCTTTTCCACCGATTGGTTCAATATATAGTTGGTATATAGTTGGACAAATTCCTGCACCAAAAGAGACAATGTTAGAAGCCTAAATGAGACAGTTAACTTAAAAATGCTCAAAATAAAATAAAACTTCCCGTCCTGACAGCATCAATACCACATTAAAATAAAACAATATTTATGCAGTATGCAAATAACTCTTATGTCATAGCTCAAGATGTTTCTCAAGTTTCCTCTTGGGTCTTCTGATTCTTACCACAAATCTACACTACCTGGTCACTGGACCCTCAACTACTCGAAAAGTGGTTTCATGGGAGAGTCTAGGACCAGAGGGCATAGTCTCGCAATAAACAGGGCACCAATTTAAGACTGGGATGAGGGGAGTTTTGTCTCTGGTGGCTCGTGTCTTTGGAACAGCTTGCTTCAGAGAGCTGTGGGGAGAGACTGTGGGGATAGTTGTATTATTGTTCAGTAGGGGAATCAAGGGTTACAGGGAAAAAACAGGAAAATGGATGTGAGGAATGTCAGATCAGCCACGATCCTATTGAATGTCAGAGCAGTCTCGAGGTGCCAAACGGCCTACCCCTGTTAGTAGTTATTATGGTCTTATGCACCCTATTTATGCCCCTTAAAATCTATACACATCTACAAGGTCCTTCACCTAACCTTCAATCGTCCAAGCAAAGCAAGCCCCGCCTGTTTAATACTTCCTCAAAGCTCAAATCATCCAGAGCAGGAAATATCCTGGTAAATTTCTTCTGCACCCTCTTCATTGCACGCAACAATACCCTATAAATGTGGTAATTGGAAATGTACATAGTACTCCGGTTGTGTCCTAATCAGTGTTTTATACAGTTTCAGCATAACCTCTCTGCTTTTGTATTCTACGCTTCAGCTACTAAACGCAAGTATGCCTGCTTAACTACCTTATATATGTGCCCTGCTACCTTCAGGACTCAGTGGACATGCACACGAAGGTTCCTCTGGTCTTTAGTGCTTTCCAGAGTCCTACCATTCATAGTGTAATCTCTTGTACTGTTAGCACTTCCAATCTGTATCATCATCCAGGCTGAATTCCATCTGTCACTGCTCTGTGATCCGACCAGTCTGTTGACAACTTCCTGCAATTTATAGTTACCTTCCCAGTATTTACCACACTACCAATTTCTGTGCATCTTGCAAACTTCTTGATCATACCCCTACATTTAAGTTTAAATCATTAAGTGTATACCACAAAAAGCAAAAGCCCCAAACTGATCCCTTAGAATCCCACTGGGAGCAGACTTCCAGTCACAAAATCATCCCTCTACCGTCACCATTTCTGATCCTAAGTGGCTAAGAGACAACGTGCCCCTTTGTCTTTGATCCCATTGACACTTACTTTGTTGACCAGTCTGTCAAGAGGGACTGTGTCAAACATTTTGCTGAAGTCCACTTGGCCACATCAAATGCATTATCCTCATCAACACTCTTGGTTACCTCCTCAAAAGATTTCACAGAATTTGTCAAATGTGACCTTCCCTTAACAAGTCCATGCTGACTATTACTGATTAATCCAAGTCTCTTTAAGTGCAGAAACATTCTCTGTCTCAAAATTCTAATAACTTCCCCACCATAAACGTTAGACTGGCTGGCCTGTAATTTCCTGGTCCATCACTTCTTCCATTTTTAAATAAAGGGAAATTTTAGCAGTCCACCAGTCCTCTGGCACCTCAACTGTGGCTAGAGGGCCCCAGATATCTGCTCCCCTACTTTACTCAACAGTCGGGAATACATCTCATCTGGAGCTGCAGATGTATTCATTTCAAGGCTGCTATACCCTTTTGTATTTCCTCTTAATTTCTTTCTAATATCCTACAGTTTTACCTGTGTTGTCCTTTTCCATTGTGAAGATTGATGAAAAGTAGCCATTGAAGACAGTGCCCATATAGAGTCATGGGGAGTAATACAACATGGAAAACAGGCCCCTCGGCCCAAACTGGTCCATGCTGACCTTGGTGCCCATTCAGCTAGTTCCAACTGCCCACATTTGGTCCAAACCCCTCTAAACCCTTCCCATCCACGTACCTATCCAAATGTTTTTTAATATGTTGCTGTTGTACCTACCTCAACCACTTTCTCCGGCAGCCCATTCCATATACGCACCACTCTCTGCGTGAAGAAGTTACCCGTCAGGTCCTTCTTAAATCTTTCCCCACTCATCTTAAACCTATGCCCTCTAGTTTTCAATTCCCCATCCCTGGGAAAACAAAAGCTATACACATTCATCCTATCTATGCCCCTCATGATTTTATACACTGCAATAAGGTCATCCCTCATTCTCCTACGTTCCAAGGAATAAAGTCCTATCCTGGCCAACCTCTCCCTATAACTCAGGCCTGCTAGCCCTGACAAAATCCTCATTTCCCATGCCTTCTAGACTCACTTACTCATATGAACAACCAATTCCATCTGAGCTTCTCCCTCCTCTGAACTAGTTGCCAGGATCCCAAACCCCTGCCAATCTAGTTTAAGTTTGCTCAATGGCATTCGCAAACCTCTCATGAGGATGCTTGCCCTGTTTCTGTTCAGAATTAACTTGCTCAACATGTACAGTTCTCATCTCCCTGAGAAATAGTCCCAGTGTCTCAGGAATCTGTCCTGCACCATCTCTCCAGTCACACATTCATCTGTTCTGTCCTGCTATTACCGTGCTCACTGCCGAGGGGCCCTGGGAGTAATCCTGAGACTACAATGTTTGAAGCCATGCTTTTCAATTTCCTGCTGACCTCCCTAAAGACCATTTGCAAGACCTAATTTCATTTTCTCCCCACATCATTGGTTCCAACATGGACTACAACCTCTGGCTGTTCACCCTCTCCCTTCAGAATGCTCTGCAGCTGTTCCATGGCATCCTTGACCCTGGAACCTGGAAGGCAATAAGCTATACCAGAGTCACGTCTATAGTTGCAAAAGCATCAGTCTACTCCCCTGACTAATTAATCCCCTATCACTACTGCCCTTCTACATTTCTTCCCCCAGAACAACTGAACCACTCTCAGTGCTACGCCTTTGGCCTCCACAGAAGTTTCCAACTCTGAAAAAGTTTTCAAGTGAGATGCATTTGACAGTGTCCTTCACTACATTCCTAGACCCTTCTTCTGCCAGGCAGTCACATATTCCCACTTTGCTTACATTTCTTTGAGCCGTGGGGTGACCATATCTTGAAATGTGCTCTGCATGAACCACTCACCATCATGAATTCACTGTATTCATGAATTCAGCTGCTGCTTAAGCCCCAAACCCTGGAGCTTGAGTTGCTCCAGCTGGAGGCACCTCTTGCATAAATGGTCATCCAGACTGCCAGAAGTATCAAAGATTCCCCACATCGTTCAAGGTTTTCAAATTGTGGGCGTGAGCTCCTCATACGTACCTTAATTAAACAGAAGATATTCCCCTACTTTCATCTTACCTTATTCCTGCTGAAACATGTACTGGAAAAACAACTTATTCTCATGTAGATCCAAGTCAGGTTGGTCTGCTTTTCTTTGAGGGTCTTCACATCACCTGCTACTCTCACTGATGCTGACTGCCTGCTGTGGGGTGTTCACCTTAACCACTTCTTTTGACGATGCTATCTTTCACAGAGTTCTCACTTTGTTTGTTCCTCTCGAACTAGTCAACGCCTTGAAGTTGGCCATGCTTGTGTAGCCACACAAAGAAATTTAGAGGGATTACACTTATGCAAAATCACCCACGCAGTCCAAAAACAAAATTACAAGGAATGTAGCTATACAGAAAGAAAAACATTTCAGGGGTACTGGTAAAAGACAGTCAAGTGGTACTAGGTGAATTGCTCTTGCAAAGAACTAGCATGAATATCATCACTGACGTGGCTGACTGACAATTACAGAATGATATCTAGTCAGATTTGCAAGTGTTTGCCAGGAGTCTTCATGTCACTGACAAGTTGATTCTTGATCCACAGATCTTTGGCATCTGGGACGGGATGTCCCCTAAGGTGGTGAGTCTGGATTGCAGGATTTACTTCCTTTCCTTTCCACTTCTACCTCATCATTATGGCCCTGCAGTTTGTTAGACAAGTTGTTGGCATTTTAAATGGTTGCTAAATAGCTCTTCCCAGTCATTAACATAAATGCTGCCATGCTTCAAGATGAGCTTCAGAGTGTCTTTAGCATTTTCCTTGTCCTCCCTTGGGTTACTTGAGAGTTCAGGAAACAGGGCCTGGTGGGAAGACACTTTTTGGCCATCCAGACAGTGTCGAATCCACAAAAGTTGATTTACAGGGGTTTTGCCTGAACATCTCCTGTGTCCAGCCACCATCCAAGGGTCTTCCAGAAAATCAGCTTATTACCTATGTACTCTCTTCCCATGTGTTGAGCATGACATCATAAGATATACAAGTAGAAGTAAGCTATTCAGCCCATCTAATCTGTTCCACCATTCAACAAGATCAAGGCTGATCTGATACTCCTCGGCTCCACTTCCCTGTCTTTTCCCTATAACCCTTGACTCCCTCACTGATTAAAAACCGGTCTACCTCAGCCTTGAATATACTTAATGACCAAGCCTTGACAGCAATCTGTGGTAAAGAATTCTACAGATTCACTAATGTCAGCAAGAAGAAATTTCTCATCTCTAACATGAATGTGTGACCCCCTTAATCTGAGGTGATACCATCTGGTCCTAGACGCTCCCACAGGGAAACAACCTTTCCACAAGTACCCTGTCAAGTCCTCTAAGAAACTTGTATGTTTCAATAAGGTCACTTCTCATTCTAAATTCCAATGAGAAATTCCAGAGATAGGTAGGTTCTTGATTGCAGAGGGGATCAAGAATTATGGGGAGAAGGCAGAAGAATGGGGTTGAGGAATATATCAGCCATAATCACATGGTGAAGCAGACTGGATGGGCCAAATGGCCTAATTATGCTCCTATATCTTATGAGTACGGGCCAAAGAGTAGAGAGTTAGATCTTTTGTGGACCTGGCTTCAAGAAAGTCCTAGCATTTGTTCATCAGTCTTCCTACTGAATTAAGAGGATGCAGCAACGATATTACTGATGGAATTTCTCTAGTGCCGTCGTCCTATTGATGCACAGTCAAAGCTTCACTGCAATACAGGAGTGTGGCCTTTCAAAGAGATTGCGAACATACGTGAAGTGCTCAATTAAGGCCCTCCATACTAGGAAACATCCTGGTAAATCTTTTCTGTAGCCTCTCCAAAGCCACCACATCCTTCTGAAGAAGGGTCTAGGCCCAAAACATCAGCCTTCCTGCTCGGCCTGCTGTGTTCATCCAGCTCTACACCTTGTTATCTCAGATTCTCCAGCATCTGCAGTTCCTACTATCTCTGAAACATCCTTCTGGTAGTGTGGCGACCAGAATTGAACACAATATTCCAAACTAAGGTTCTATAAACTGCAACATTACCTGCCAATTCTTAAACTCAATGCACCAGATGAAGGCAAGCATGCCATATGCCTTGTTGACTACCTCTTCCACCTGCGTTGCCACTTTCAGTGACCTGTGTACCTGTACACCCAGATCCCTCTGCCTATCAGTACTCTTAAGGGTTCTGCCATTTACTGTATATTTTCCATTTGGATTAGACCTTCCAAAATGCATTACCTCACAATTTTTCAGATTAAACTCCATTTGCCACCTCTCTGCCCAAGTCACCAACTGATCTATATCCAGCTGTATCCTTTGATGGTCCTTATCGCAATCCGCAATTCCACCAACCTTTGTGTCATCAGCAAACTTACCAATCAGACCAGTTACATTCTCCTCCAAATCATTTCTATATATTACAAACAGCAAAAGTCCCAACTCTGATCCCTGAGGAACACCACTAGTCACAGCCCTCCATTCAGAAATGCACCCTTCCACTGCTACCCTCTGCCTTCTATGATCGAGCCAGTTTTTACCCATCTTGCAAGATCAGTTCTGACCCAGTGCAACTTTACCTTCTGTCTACAGCACAAAGAGTCCCTTTGGCCCATCATGTCCTATATGTCCTATATCATGTCCTTTGGCCTATATGCAGTGCAGCCACCTAAGTATTCTAATCCCATTTTCCAGCACTTGGCCCATAGCATTGTGTGCCTTGTTATCTCGAGGGCACATCTGACTTTTTAAAATATTTAAATGAGGGGCATTTAAACGGCTATTATAGGCATATGGATGATAGTATAAAGGTAGGGGTGGAGGTTAGATAGACCTTAGGATTAGGGTAAAAGTTTGGCAAAACATCGTGGGCCGAAGGGCCTGTACTGTGCTGTACTGTTCTATGTTCTATGTATCAGCCTGCCATGAGGTAACATTGAGGATTCTTAGACTTTGGCATGCCAATATGACAGCTGCCCTATTGAAAATTTAGGTTAATATACTCCTTACATGTCAGAGGTGATTTAACAGCTATCATTGTGCTTTTCATCCCCATATTAGTCCCAAATATACTTTCAGATATGCTTTTACCCCAACACTTAATACAGCAAACTTTTCATTAACTGACACCTATGGAACCAGGAGTGTACCAGTTGATCAAATTTTCAAGAGGTCCACATAATCAATGTAAAAACACACACCAAGGAATGGACGCATAATGCAGGGGCTATTTACAGCATAAATCACTTAAAAAGTAATGCAACTTCGGCTTAAATAAAACTTAACAGCAGACAGCCTTCTCACTTGCACCCTTGGCTGACTGCTTGGACATTGTGTAGATCATGTGAATACAGTAAACTTCCAGTATTTGAGGTACATAGTTTTAGTCAGTTTATCGAGTGTGCTGGTTCATAAGGTGCCAGTTAAAACAAAGTTTGCTGATTCCCTTTGAAACAATCATGCAGTTTTCCACCGTAACTCACCTTCCTCAACACTCAGTCCTTTAACCTACAAATTAAATGCAAATTAACCCACAAGCTTAGTGTGATATAATTCCAGCACAATTTATTTAGTTGCTGTTTGTAGGTATCTGAAAAACATCTTGGTCCAAACCATGGTTTCCCAAAGAACTTCATATCTACACTTTTAAAGATACATCAATTGCAATATTCATTAGGAGAGAACAACAACAGATTTTTGATATTTCTCTCCTCACATGCTGCTCCATAACAACAAGTAAGTTACTGAACTTACATGACATTTACCCACAATATATACCAGAAAAAGTCAGAATTATTCAGGAGAAGTGAACTTCTGGTCCTGAAAATTGAACTTTACTGATATGATGTCACATTCCTTCAGAGTTTAATTAATGCTGGAGATTACTTTCTTTAAATCTCTCTCTTCCTCTCATAATCCAATCTTTCTTCCCCGATTTTTATTTCACTTTCAATACATGATTAAAATAGAGGCATCTTGGTTTAATCTATACATCAATGAATCCTTAACTTTGATTGGTTGATGGGTTTTGTTGTTACTTGCCTTGCTGACAGATACTCTGTAGGGAGCACTGCACTGGATCAGTCATAAAGAAGCACAATACTGAAGTAAGCTATTCAATCCATCACGCCTATGCCAGCCTTTTGATGCATGTTGAGAGCAATTATGTTCAAAAAATCATGAAAGCTCTGAGCAGTTGTCAGTGTACTGCCATTTGAATTATGTTATTTTGACACCAGCAGCAAAAATGCAGGGCAATAATACATACAAGTTCCATTTAGATCCTTTGTGAAAGTCACAAAATATTAGTCTTGAATTTACAAGCATGCAAATTGAAATTTATTACTGCATACTGGTTAATTGAATAGTATTCAGAACCTGACAACTTTAGCTGGAAATATAATTGTTATTTCATCACAATGGAAAGAATCACATTTAATAATTAACATGCTACCACTTAACCTAACTATGCCAAGTGAAAAGTGGAACACAAGTTATTCAAAGCAAAAAGTGGATTTCATATCATAGTTGTGTGGGTCTACCAAAAGCACATGGGCTGCAGAGGTTCAAGGCGGTAGCTCACCACTACCTTCTCAAGGGCAGCTAGGCACAGGCAATAAATGCTGGCCTACCTGCAATGCCTAACTCCCATGTTAGAATTTTTTTAAAAAAGCACAGAATTTAAAATTGTCCTGTGGCTCTCTTCACTTTGTTCATATTTTTGACAATATACTTCCAGAGCTCTACCAGTACCTTGAAATAGGCTATGAGTTAATGCGCAAAACTATCCTGGGATCGATTGCTCATAAACAAGCAGTCTCTCAATGCTTCTTCAAAGAAGAAATTGAAAATTATGAAAGACAAAAATTGAACTGCGCTTCATCATTCCATCACACTGTTCAAACACAGAATTTCATTAGCTTAGTTCTGACTATTTTGAGTGAGCATAGCTAGGCTTAATTGCTAAGTATAACCAAAGCTCACACTAACCTTTTTATTTTGGTTTGTGACTGGAATGTCAGCACTGTTTTCTTTCAGATTGTGGATAACTGGCACCCCAAAAAGGTCACTGTATGATATTTGAAAGGTGATCATCATATCTTCTTCTAAATTCCCTTCATATTCCAGAATGTCTTTCAAACTTCGATATAGTATCTGCAAAGAATTGGTTTCAAATAGTCAATTTCATGAAGAAACATGAACATATCTTACTTTGAGCTACTGCAAGGACTCCACTACTGGAATGTCCACCAATTCTGGGGTGTGAGCAAAGCAGCAGCATGTCAGGCTGAGCATGCTTTGTGCTGTTATTTGTTACAGATGAAGGGCGCAGCCATTTAAAGAAATTGTGTACCCTGTGTACTGGAGACTGGAATGAAACTGAGCTCTTGGGATCCATTCAGTCTAGTAAAGCCAGTTGAAGCAGAAGGGAAGAGAAAAAGAAAGGGAACAGAAGCTCTAACCAATTGAGGTGCTGTTGTTAATAGTCTTCAGGCACGACAGAAGTCCTGAAGAGCCGAGAAGCAGCAGAAAATCACTGAATCTATGTTGGAGAAAGAGGACCATCCAAATCAGGTGCTTCTAAACAATTATAGCGCTGCTAACTCTGAAGGGTTGGGAGCTCATTAAATTTTAAGAGCCATTTGGTAGCTGAGAGTTGGAGGCTCAAGTAAGCCCACAAGCACTATTTGCTCAATACAGCTCAGCAGATGCATTCAGAGCAACCTGGAACAGAGTCAGCACAGTGAAGTTAGCTGTATGCTAAGACCTGAAATTGTGGCTGTAAGTAGGTGCTGAAGTGCAGCCTTAGGAATCTTTTGGAACCCTATCACAGAAAAAGGATTGAATTAGTGTAATCAATGAGACAGACTGTGTTAGAGGAAATTCAGAGTTTAGGTCTTTGAAAGTGAAGATTTGAAGCTGGAAAAGTTTTAATGAGATTTGGTGACACCCCATGTCACTAACATCTGGGTGAGTTGCTGAGGAATTATGGGATGTGTCATGACCACATCTGCTATACTCTGTAGGGTGTCTGACTGCAGATCATCTGCTGACACATTAGAATCTCATGCTCCAACATTAAGAATTAACATGATGAAATGTATATTGCAGACTGTTTTAGTTCAATAATCTTGCATTGGAAATTTTACATTTTTCTGTTTTAAAAAATAAGTATCATCAGGGCTTCATTTCATTAGTAACCACCTGGGATCACAAACACTGTCTACTTTAGACAAAGTGTTACTGGTCCTTAACTAGATTGTAACATGATTGAGCAGTCTCATCTGTTATGATCAATATGTATTGCATTCTAAACATTGATCCTTAAATGCAACACTAAAAGCGCCGTCGAACTTCACTCAGGGTGACAAAAAGTAACAATTCTTCCTTCATTGCAATGCCACTTCTGAAATTTAATTCATTTCCCTATTGAATGAAGTACATTCATTTTTCTAATTGCAAATGAGAATTGTATGTGTGTTTTATAACCCCGATTTAAATATTTAATTACATATAGGCCCACCTATAAAGACCCTTTCATTTTGTAAATTCTCAAACTCACATTACATAGCGTTCTAAAGAAGGATCAATGGACTTAAAACATTAACCTTGCTCTCTCCAGAGATACTACCAGACCTTCCGAGTTTCTCCAGCAATTTCTGTTTTTGTTGCAAATTTTCAACATCCACAGTTCTTGGTTTTATTACATAAGTTACAATGTATAGAATATATTGCACAGGAACAGGCCAACCAGTCGAAGGTGGCGTTTGTTTTCTTTTTGAGATTTTTGACATTATTCTTCATCTATCAGCGTATCCCTCTACATTACTTCCAACTCATACTTATGTAATCTTCCCCGAGGTTGATCCATACGATTCATCATAACCGCTCACTATAATACGAGATTCATACTGTCAATCTCTTGGTAAAGAACTGTCTGAACTCCACTTTTGGTTTTTTTTGGTGAATCTATATTGATCGCTGGCTATGCTCTTGCCCCACAAGTAGGAACATTCTTTGTCTACTCTATCAAATGTTTCATAATTTTAAAGACCTCGTTTAGACCACTCTTTTCAAAGGGAAACGGATCCAGCATATTCATCCTCTCAAACTGATAGGTCTACCTGAATTCTGAAGGGTCACCAGACCCGAAACTTTAATTCTGATTGCTCTTCACAGATTCTGCCAGACCTGCTGAGCTTTCCAGCAACTTCTGTTTTTGTTGCTGATAGGTCTACCATTGGATTGCTGATGTTGTTTTAGTGCATATTTTTCCCCCATCCAATGCCTCTATCCTCGGTTTCATACATGGCCAGAATTGTACACAAGTGCATCAGGTGGGGTTCAATCTTTTCAATACAAGTCCAAAGATTCCATTCCTGATGATTCCCCTCATCCAGCAAAAAAGAACATGTGACTCCTTACAAAGTGATATAACCAATTCAATAATGTAAAAGTAGTAAATCAAGTGGATAGAAAAGAGAGAATCAGCACACAGCAGGCAGAAGACTTTATTCTGTCAGAATTGCAAACCAAAGAAATGGAACAAGGACCTAGCATTGCAATGTGCAGCTCATATCTTTCAGAAATTTCCTGATACAATTTGCAAAGCAAAATAACATTAGCCATTTTGTTTAAAACAAAAGTAAACCCAAATTAGAACATTGATTTGAAATGTAGAAGGGACGTACCTGACACTGTCTGACACAACCTGCAGTTTCCACAGTCAAACAACTCCAGAGCAGCACTCAACAGAGTTCAAAGTCATAGTTCCCAATAGTTGAAATAACGCTGAATTTGGAGCACCAAGCATGTGCAGAGGAGTTAGGTTCTTGAAGGAATTCTAAATGAGGGCAAGGAAACCGAATTCAATGTGTTTGGAATCAGGGAGCTACTAGATTAGTGATGAGAAGCAGGAGTTGGTATCTGACAAAATGTAAACAGCCAAATTTTCAATGGGTTGAGTTTGAAAAAAGTGGGATGTGGGAGGCCAGAAAACAGAGGTTGTGTGTAGATGCAACAATAGAATAATCAACAGTTTTAGCAGTAATACAGTGAGGCAAGGTGGCTGACAGTAATGGTTCTAAGATAGAAATCAGCTCTCTCAGTAATGGACTGTAGATTGGAAGCTTAACTCTTTGTTACATAAGACCTTAGGGGATGTAAATCATTTTGAAGCCTCAGGCAGGGAGAAAGAAAAAAGATTTTGATAGCTGCTGAGTAAGATGGCATTAGCATTCCCAAAGTTCAGTCAAAATTTTTAAAAATAATATTGTTGACAAGCACACTCCTATAAAATGAGGAATACTTTGAAGTACACGGTTAGCTTTTCTTTTAACTCAAACAAAGTGATAATTGACCGACTGTACATTTGTAAACCACACATGCAAATGAATGCATCTATATCTCATCTGTTTATTTGACATGATCAGTAAGGTGATAGCTCTTTTGAAAATTGTGATCTGGATAGCCTTTGGTTCATTCAGCATAACACGCAACTGTGCAATTGACAGAACATATAATGAATACACATTTAACAATGTTAGAAAGTGAAATGAAAAGTATGCCTTATGAGTGAATGACCTTTACTTTTTTCTAAAAGTATGAACGGAAGAGTGACAACAGCTTTGTCATGCCGGTAGAGGACAAAGTCCAACGGCTCAGGACACGATGAATTTGCCCAGTCTGGTTGAAATAAATATGACTTCAAAACTCATTCAAGAATCCCTTGTTTCAACATGTAATTTAGGTAGATGTATGAGAATTTATCACAATGAGAATAAGACTCTCCCACCTCTTTTGTGAAGATTCACTCCCCTCATTTCTTGGTTCTGTAATGCTCCCTTCTTTTAGGATTCCCCATGGAGCTCACAGTAGTTTATTAAATGGCATCATGTTCTTTAAATAACACCAAGAAACCAAAGCATTTAAATAATTTGTGTAGTATGTATGGCTATGTTGTAGCATATTTGCCTTAGTCATAAGGTACAGAGTTCAAGTTCAACTGCAGGACGTTAGCACAATAAAAACTTTGAAAGTCCAGTAATAATTAAATGCTGCAATGTTGGAAGTGCAATATTTTAGATGAGATATTAAACAGAGGTCCTGACTGCCTTTTTAACTAGACATAGATGATCCATTGTGCTATTTTGAAATGCAGTGGGGTTATCCCTGTTGACATTGCTAATGTATATCCCTCAATCAACTTCACTAAAACAGGTTATCTGGTTATTATCACAATGCTGTTTGGGGGAGTTTGTTGTGCACAAATTAGACGATGGATTTCCTTTGCAACAGTATTTACATTTTTAAAAGTACATCATTATCTACAAAATGGAACACCCAGTGGTCACAGCAGATTCAACACAAATGTCTTTTTTTTGTAAACTGTAAACTTCTAGTTTAGTATACATAATCGACCCAATCCATTACATTGGCATAGTTTACCAAACTCAATTAATTGCCACAGTACCACTTGATTCACTGATGATCTGTGGTTGTTTTTTTAAAAAATGCTGTAATAGCTGAATTTTACTTAAATGAATTGGATGAAAATTACCTCAAGACAGTAATTTATATTAACTTAATAAAAACCGAAAGAACTGCAGATGCTGTAAATCAGGAACAAAAACAGAAGTTGCTGGAAAAGCTCAGCAGGTCTGGCAGCATCTGTGAAGGAAAAAAAAAAAAAGAGTTAACACTTTGGGTCCGGTGACCCTTCCTCAGATCAGTATTAACTTACTGGATGTGAGTCAGCCAGATCTTCTAAAGTTCCTTTCTTGCCCATCAACTTCCTGTAAACCACCATTGGAAAATGGACATCAAGGATGCAGTGATTGTAGATGGCCAGACCAAGCACTATCCCAATTAGTGTGAATTGTCCATCATTCTCAAAAGAGGTAGGATTGAACCAAAATAGTTTTGTTTGGTTATCGTAAGCAAACATTCCTACAAAGAAAAAAAAACTCCTTGTGAGCAACTGAGAAACTTAAGCTGACTAACCACTTACCTAACAATTGGAGCAATGGAAACTTTAACTCATCCACCTTCCTTGGCAGTCTGATGATACTTATTGTCTGCATTATTGGAATACATAATTATCCATTTACAACCAAAACCTATCTAGCAATTTTTGTTTTCCAATCAACCATAATTCAAACTCTTCCTTGTCTACCGGACTCACCCCATTTAAATTTAAAAATACCACCAGAACGGTGGATAATAATTACTCAATGGTGAACATTTGAACAGGGCTTTCTTAGAGCACTGAATTTATCACCATTCGAATCCAGCCAAAAAATAAATAACTGATCTGTCAGACACTTAGTGAAAATGGTTTAAAAAAGTGTTAATCCAATATTTATCACAAAACTGCCTAGAATTGGCAGTAATCTGTAATCACGCTCAGAAAAGGCATCAGAACAACTTTATGAGAAATGAAAGTGAAGGGCCCACACCGATACAAGTAGGTAAGACTGGAAAATTAACATTCAGCCATTTTTTGGGGTTAGGCACAGTACTTCATTTCTTTGCCTATGTTATACTTGATGACAGTGTACAAAAGAGTGTAATTCTATTTTCTGGCAGCAGTATCCTCACTGTCAACATGCATTTTTTGTTTTGAAATATTGTGATAAACTAAATTTCCATTTCAGATAGATAAACCTCTTCCCTATTTACGATCCATGACATGGGAATGTGCAACTAAACTTTTAAACAACATTTCCAACTCTTTCTACAGGACAGTCAATTCAATTTCAAATGATATTTTCTCATGTTCAAGCAATCACAGAATAAAGCAACTATCAAGACAGTAGGTTTTTCATCTTTGTTAAATTTATTTAAAATATTTCATCTGAATGAGATACGGAAAAAGAATCTGCATTCATTCTGGCTATACAACGATATACTGAGGTTGAATAAATACCTATATCTGGGTTAAAAATTTCCTCAACCACCAGCTGAAAGAACTCCTTGGAAACTCCACCTTCATCCACTCCTTGTTCCCCCTCAAACTCCACATAAAGTTGCTTTTTCAAATCCGAAGGATTTTCTGTTGCAATCATTTCCAGCTGAAAAACAACAGAAGCGAAGTATTTTAAACAAGAAAAATAGTCAACGGAAGCAGAAAAGTAACCCATCAACTCATCGTTACTTGAAGAAATATTAGGAACCAAATTCCAGCTGTGTTAACATTTTGTTCTATCCTACACAGTTACATTTTAAAGAAAATTGGAAGTTTGTCCCTACACAGTGAGTAGAATTACACTAGCAAATTGCAATAAGCAAAATCATTATGCTACAATTTGGGCTTAACATTCAGCTTAGATGGTTATTATAGACAAGAGCAAATGTCATTTAATTCACCACAAATAATAGATTCAGTAATCCAAAGATCAGTGTGAAGACAATGAGTATTTGTTCAAATCAGTAATATTCTGTACAATTAATGTGCTTTACTATTTAACATCTATCTTTTACTTTTGGTTTCTTTGAAATAGCAAGCAGTTGATTGCCATGCCTAGGCAGTCAGCAAATCATAACCAGAGCAGAGATAGAAGTTGCAATACGCCAAATATAAAATTAAAGTTCTGAAATTCTTTAAGCTAACTGATGGATCAGAAGTGAGGGCAAAATGGAACACTGTAAATATTAGAATTAAACAAAGAATGCAAAAGGTAATATACCCGCTGTGTGCAACTGAAGCATCCCAGTAGAAAACGCACAAAAATAAACTTAAAATCTTCTAAATGAAAGCTGCTTGCATACATTGAAATCCTATTTAAAGAGGATTTAATTAAATGTACAGGATTACATCACGCATAGCTAAAGATGTCCAAGTTGTCAAATACAGTGACCCTCTCAATCAAAGCCCATTTCATTTATTAACATATTGACTATGGCGTTTACTTGTGAACTCTCCAGCCTGCAATTATTCCCAAGTCATTATTTTCAGAGAAAACACAGTGTAGTGAATGCACAGCAGAAAACTATTGCCACATAATTCTCCCATAAGTCAGGAAGGCCAACCTCAGTGGAAGGCTTCAGGATCTGCAGTTCATAGAAGTTCATAAAATCCCTACAGAAATCACAGAGAAGATCAAAAGCAGTTGATGAGAGGAAGAAAACCAGTACTCCTCAATTCCACCAAAACTGACAACAGCAAACTGAAATGTTAAAGTGGTTGACAGTTTTTAGGCTTAGCATTAACTTAGTACAATCTGAGCAATGCCATCAAGGTTCAATTCCATTTTCAAAAATATTACGCATCTTGTGTATGATTTACACCAGATTTCAAGTATAGCAACAGACAGAAACTTTACTGCACAAACACCGATTTGTTTGAGGTTTTTTTTTATTCATTCACCGGATGAGGGCATCGCTGGCTAGGCAGCATTTATTGCCTATCCCTAATTGCCAGAGTGTAGTTAAGAGTCAACCACATTGCTGTGGCTCTGGAATCACACATAGGCCAGACCAGGTAAGGATGGCAGTTTCCTACCTTAAAGGACATTAGTGAACCAGATGGGTTTTCCAACAATTGGCAATGGATTCACAGTCATCTTTAGACTCTTAATTCCAGATATTTATTGAATTCAAATTCCAAGTGCCGTGGTAAGATTCAAACCCGGGTCCCCAGCATGTTATCTGGGTTTCTGGATTAACAGTCAAGCAATAATACCACTAGGCCATCGCCTCCACTGAATGAGGCAAAACAGTCATATTTCCACATGCTTTACTTCTAGGAATTTTTGTAAAAGTTTATCTTTAAAATCAAGCCTAAATGAGCAGCTGTCTAAAATTAAAGTTTAACTGAAACCATTTTGTTTTGTTATTCAGAGTATAACTCAATTTACCATACTCAACAGATGCTAAGTCAAAATGGTAACAATACATATGGAATCACATTTTTTAAACGTATCAGATATGGATAGTTTTCTCAATTATATGTCACACTTACTGAAATCCAGAGAACGTCGTTGAAGGTTGGCAAGAATCAAAACCAAAGAAACACCATGTTCAAATGCACAGCAGTGTAGGAGTACAGCTAGACTTCCATCAGATAAAACTTTAAAAAAAAAAAAAAAATTCTAGTAGCACACTGGTCTGCTGTTTACTTTGGAAGTGTGGGATGAATCCACTTCTTAGTGGTTGGCTTAATACCACAGGCCCCATTCAGTTTGACTTGTAAATTGGTACAGTAACCAAGAGCACCAACGATGTATCCACCTCTAGTATGAAATTACTAAGTTTACCAGAGAGTGTACTTGCTTACAACCTCCCATAACTGAAATGCATCTTGAAGCCTGTTTAACAAAGATACATTTAGATTTCCTTTCACCTTTCAATTCCTCCTCAAAGCTAATCAATGTACGTTTAAACCCACATTAGGCAGATGCCAGGAACACTACACAAGAACAAACATATTAAAAAGCTAGAACACCAAATTTGAGCAATAGAAACAAAACACAAATTTAACCATAGAGGTCATCCAGTCTGTGAAATATGCATGCATAATGCTAGCTTATACAGGAACTAGCTACTTCCTATTTGTTGAAACACTTTAAAGCAGTGCATCCCAAAGCTGTTTCTGAGCAGGAGGGTGGGTGATAGGAAAATAGCCAGTTAGAGGTGGAACACAAATAAGTTGCTTGGAGATCCACAGTCATTGTTGTCTAAGCGCTTGGAACAACAAAATTTCAGCCCTCAAACCTACTTTAGAAGCCCTGCTTTACGGTTTATTGAAGCAAGGCACAAATGATGGGCTTAATGACTTCCTCTGAGCTGTTTCATTCTACGAAATATTTGAGTTGCTGATTGACTCACTAACAGCAATCCATTCCATATTCTATAACCCTTTGCAGGAGAAAATCTATAATTCTATAGTACTCCCTTGGAATCAACATTTCTAAAACTAATGTTAAACCTACATCAATTATTTACTGATAACAAAGTGAAGTGAAGGACTCTTCTGAAGAAGGGTCCCGACCCGAAATATCAGACCGGTCAGTCTTACTTCTGTGGTGGGCAAATTATTGGAGAGGATTCTGAGAGATAGTATTTATGATTATTTGGAAAAGCACAGTTTGATCAGAAATAGTCAGCATGGCTTTGTGAGGGGCAGGTCCTGCCTCACAAGCCTTATTGAATTATTTAAGGATGTGACAAAACACATCAATGAAGGTAGGTCAGTGGATGTGGTGTATATGGATTTTAGCAAGGCATTCGATAAGGTTCCACATGGTCGGCTCATTCAGAAAGTAAGGAGGCATGGGGTTCAGGGAAATTTGGCTGTCTGGATACAAAACTGGCTGTCCAATAGAAGATAGACGGTGGTAGTAGATGGAAAGTATTCAGCCTGGAGCTCAGTGACCAGTGGTGTTCTGCAGGGATCTGTTCTGGAACCTCTGCTCTTTGTGATCTTTATAAATGACTTGGATGAGGAAGTGGAAGAGTAGGTTAGTAAGTTTGCCAATGACACGAAGGTTGATGGAGTTGTGGACAGTCTGGAGGGCTGTTGTAGGTTGCAACGGGACATTGACAGGATGCAGAGCTGGGCAAAGAAGTGGCAGATGGAATTCAACCCAGAAAAATGTGAAGTGATTCATTTTGGAAGGTCGAATTTGAATGCAGAATACACTGTTAATGGCAGGATTCTTGGCAGCGTGGAGGAACAGGGGGATCTTGGGGTCCACGTCCAAAGATCCCTCAAAGTTGCGACCCAAGTTGATAGGGTTGTAAAGAAGGCGTATGGTGTGTTGGCTTTCATTGGCAGGGGAACTGAGTTTTAGAGCCGTGAGGTTATGCTGCGGCTCTATGAAACTCTGGTTAGACCACACTTGGAATTTTGTGTTCAGTTCTGGTCACCTCATTATAGGAAAGACGTGGAAGCTTTAGGGAGGGCGTAGAGGAGACTTACCAGGATGCTGCCTGGACTGGAGGGCAGGTCTTATGAGGAAAAGTTGAGGGAGCTAGGGCCTTTTTCATTGGAGCGAAGAAAGATGAGAGGTGACTTGATAGCGGTTTACAAGATGAAGAGAGGCATAAGTAGAGTGGATAGTCAGAGACTTTTTCCCAGGGCGGAAATGACTATTACGAGGGGGCATAATTTTAAAGGTGATTGGAGAAAGGTATAGGGGAGATGTCAGAGGTAGGTTCTTCACACAGAGAGTGATGGGTGTGTGGAATGCGCTGCCGGCAGTGGTAGTGGAGTCAGATACTTTAGAGACTTTCAAGCGATTCCTGGATAGGCACATGGAGGATAGTAAAATGTAGGGTGTGCAGGGTAGATTGATCTTAGTAGGATAATAGGTCAGCACAACATCGTGGGCCGCAGGGCCTGTAATGTGCTGTACTGTTCTAATGTTCTATCAGCTTTCCTGTTCCTCTGATGCTGTCTGGCCTGCTGTATTCCTCCAGCTCCACACTTTGTTATCTCTGACTCCAGCATCTGCAGTTCTTGCTATCTCAGTGACTTATCAATTACTTACTGCCAAGTTGTTGAAGATTTCAATTAGGAAACCTGAAAACTTTCCTGCTGGAATGAGAGAAAAACCCTTATATTGCAGATTTTTAAAAAGCCTCAGATAGAAGCAATGCCAGGGTAGAATAATAGGCCAGTAATTGGACTTGTTCATTGCTTTGTGCAGGAGACATAGCTGGGCAATTTTCCATTCTGCTTGGTGGATACCTTACATGTTTTTTGACTAGCTATGTCTATGTATGGTAACACTATATAATTTGATTTATTATTGTCGTCACATGTTCCTAAGTACACCGAAACGTTTTATTTTCCATGCAGTACAGGCAGACCATACCATACAAAGTACATAGGGTAACAGAACAAGGGAGGAATACAATGTTACGACTGCAGAGAAGGTGAAGCAAACATTGTTAGTAATTTTAAAAGACCTGCTGTAGACAGTTTGTAAAGAATCGCCATGCTTTGGTGCCATCCTGAATCCACAAAAAACAAACACTACATTTACTGTACATTTTCCTGATTCCGATCTCTTATTTATAATAGGTCAACCTAACCAATCCTAATTCTTCCATAGATTCAATTACTTAC